ATTTGCTTCGCAAACTGACGGGCAAAATCCAGTTATTATTTTCCAGCACGTAATACATGTGTGTTCAATTTCTTCCCAAACTCAAACTTTCGATGTACTGCACACTACAGCAGCTGGTAATCCATTTTATCTCGCCACCCAACAGATATCTTGACACTACAAAACTAAGCAGCAAAACACGTTGGAAACAAAGCGATCAACATCGCGTCTTGGGAATAACGTGTTTAGCTGATGTAACAGAGTACTAGTTTAAAATATTTAAAAAACAAAAGCCCCACCCCCAAATTGACACAAACTACGCCCTTACGCAGTCCCCAAAGAGATTAAAAACAGAAACTTTTTCCCCAATTCACAAACTTCTAGAAAATCACACAAACATGTGTGTAGCCTCCTTTTCACAGCCCTGCTCTAACTTCCTCATCGCCCCACACAGTCCAACGTCTAAAACATGCAGCTGAAGGAATGTTAATCGCGGTAAATCTGTTGAAAAGGCAGAGTTACCTGAGTCAGAGAGAGACTGGCAGCCATAATGTTTCTCTTCCCATTAGCCCATCCTGCGTTGCACTGGGCAATATAGGGGAGGCGAGGAAACCAGGAACAGGAGCCCCGATCGAACTGGATGCGGCTGTCTGCAAAACGTGGCACTGGCGTGACAAACCAGCTCGGCTCCGGAGGAGTTTTGCAAACTACTGTATTTTAACTTTGTTAAAGGCGGTGATTCGGGTTGGCAGCACACTGTCTTGTTTTGTGTCCGTATGCAGTTGGAGCAGCACTGTATTAGGCAACGAAGGACAAACGTTTAACCCATTTGTAAATATTAAATACAAAAAACAAAAAAACAAGTTTAAAAATATGCCAAGTGATAATCTGTTGTACCCATTCATACTTGTCGAAGTATCCCGTTCTGTAAACTAATCAACCTAAGCTTGTTTTTTTTCATACATTCACATTTATCGGAACACATATTTCTGTTATACAGGACTGGTTTAAAAATAATTCAAATTACGAGTTCTTGTACTCTCACAATTTCATTAGAAAGGGGTCACGGTAAATTAAGAGTAGAAGAACACTTTGAAAACAAAAAAAATCATGAGAGTCTTTATAAACATATCTTTAAAAGAAAAACGTGTTTGTTACATAAAGATAATATGAATTATCCAGCTAAGCTTCACACCCCACTTCAACAAATGACACTAAATATTAGCAAGTAAACAGCGTATCTAACAATTCCAATAGGGGGAGCTGTTACATAAATTATCCATCTGGTTCAGAAGTTTTTCATTGCCTGATGGTTTTAACCAAATTATATTTATGCTAATTTAAACACGTCTCGACTTTTAACAACAGTTAGCCTGAGTGAGTTACTTCGCTCAGTGACAGTAAGGTGAGGAAATTAGATTTTGCAGGGGACGTGACTGAATTTATTAGTGGATTGGATTTAGAGGCGAATTGCTGATTGCCCTAAACATTTTTTTCTTAATCTATTTTGAAGTTGTGCATCTCGGTATTTTTTGTCATTGCAATAGAGTATTATGTCATTTATGTACTGTTTTAATCTTTTAAATTTCAGACAGCGCATTAGCCGAGTGGTTTCTTTCACGGACACTAAAACACCGCTAAGAAAATAAAGTGCAAACGTTTCCCAGATAAATCCAAAACAATCTAACTTGTTAAGATGGCGTGGTCCCTTTTTCCGTTTTCTTCCACAACCGTTATCCCTGTTGTACGTGGATCTGAGAATTTGCACAAATTGAACAGCGTAAGTTTATTGTAATAAACCTTGTTTTCCCTAAATCATCTACTTGTGCAAGTGATTGTGCTCTTTTGAAAGGATCCGGTGGCCGCAGAAACTAAATTATGCCTACCGTTCTCTTTCAGAACCACCTGTCTATAAAAGGTCATTCAAGTGTTTTAACATAGAAAGTCTATGACTTCCCCAAAATATATGACTATTTTTAGGAACGAAGAACCACACTAGAATTCTTGTCATTCTGTACCGGTTGCACCCGTTCAATTGTTTTGAATTTATCTAGGAAAACATTTGCAGTTAATTCCCTGGCTGCCGAAATGAGGCTTTTCACTCATTTCATTTTCATTTTCTTACACTTGCCTCTCGCCACGAGACTCAGTTGTAGCCCTGCCGCAGTACTTTTCGCCTTTCACTCGCTTAAGTGACTGGGATAAATAGGCTTGCCCGAGGGACAGACATAAACAGCTCTCGGCATTTTCCTAAAGTACTTTAAAGCATTAGGATCACAAAATGCAAAAGCGTTAACGCGAGAACACCAAAAAACATATCCACTGTGGACTGCGGTGCCTATGCAAATGCATAAGCAGAAACTCTGCTTTACATATTAGTTCATGAGCCTGTCTCTAAATCTGTCATTTTGTTCCATTCATTCAATTGGTAATCATTCTACCTGATACTATAATGGCATTTGGAACCTGAATCAGTTTTAAAAGGCTCATCATCTGTTTGAAGGTGTAATTTGCTGTCCCTTAGGTATGGTTTCTTGAAGCCCTCTTCACCAGTGGTCCCCCAGCCTGGTCCTGAGAAACACTGCTGGTTTTCATTGTAGTACCAGTTGATGACATCATTAGCTTGTTTGTTTAACCTGATTGTTCAGCCAGTCTTAAGTGTAACAAAATACAACTTCAAGGGTACTGAGGACATAAACCCTTAACTCGCCCCTGGTTACAGAGGCCACAGGCCTAACCTCAGCATTGCCCCTAGTTAATTCAAACAGTGCAGAAAATTCATCCATTTTCCATCAACTTCCAGGGCACACCCTGGATGAGACACACAGGTTATAACACAGACACAAATATGCACACACTCACAGCAGGGCCAGTTTTCACAGAAGCCAGTTAATCTACCAGCATGGCTTTGGACGGTGGGAGGTAACCAGTGTCCCGGGAGGAAACCCTCCCAAACGCAGTAAGAACATACGAACTCCACCCAGATCATATCACAGTTTCTCGAATTAAACCCAGGGCCCCAGCACTGGTAACCACTTTAACGCCTTACTGCCCCTCTCCTCCATTTGCTTGCTGGTATTTCTGACTGAACAGCCATGACTTGTAGATCAGTGGATGAAGAACACAGGGTCGAATGAGTTTTCTTCTTTCTGCACAGCTCTAGTTACATTTCAGGTGCCTACTCCGAACGAGTAGTTCTTAACTCCGATTGCGTTCGGTTCTGAAACTCAGAAATTGAAGCTGATGGTACCAAATACAAATTCCATTTGACCTCCCAAGAGCTGAAAAGCAGATGTACAAATATGGCCCAAACAGAAAATTGAAATAATTAAAATTGGCAAATTTAAATGCAGATAGCCTGTCATTCAGAACTTGGCGGGAGCAAAAACCAGGAGAGGCCCTCTTCCTCTAGGAACAGGTCTGGGATTCACTACTCTACACTATAGCAATCCCTTTCTGGCTCCAGATCCGACTGGATCCACCTAGGTGGGGGATGCCCACCTCTGGTCCTCAAGGTCAATGATAAGATTCAACTGTAGAGTTTAATTAGGTCATTAAGGGCTCTGGTAACAGCTAAAATTGTCTCTTCAGGACTCGAGTCCTGCACACCTGGTCCATCTTTAAGGACTGAACTGCAGGACATGGTTGGAATCTTCACTCAACACAGTACCAACTTCCACCACATTCAAAACTGGATTTGAGCGCTTTATGCTTTATTGTCCAATATGCATGGCAGCTCATGCCAGCAACTTTTTGGTATTCAACTTCTATTCCCAGCAGACCCATTCAGTATCACCAATTTACTGAACATTTAAGTCCAGGCTATCACCATTTAAGACTGCTAGAAAACAAAAGATCCATGAATTGTCTTGTTACACATACCTGACAATGCTGTGCATTTACTGTACTCCCATCATCCTTCATTTTCTCAAGTCTAATGGTTTAGTTCTTGACATTCTGAGGAGCAGGTCAAGTTTTAACCAGAACACCCTGATATTTCAAGGGAAAGAACAGAGACTCTTTTAAATTAGTTTATTACTGTACAGGAACTCACATAACCAGATCTTCGGCAGGACAATCTTCTTACTCCATCCCCCTCCCCCTCCCCCCCAAAACCCCATAAACAAATACAAAAAATATAAAAAAGGAACATAAACCAAAACCGGTCACCGGTCAGGTAAGTTTCAGATTGAATGTACAGCAGTGCAATTCACATTATTTCCAATTCGATGCTAATAAAGATTCTAAAACGGGACAAACTAACATTCACTCTGCATGATTTAAACCACTCTGGTTCGGCTTACCGGTCTTTTTGTAATATGGGCAGTTCCTAAGGGCAAGGCAGGGCACTGGGGCTGTTGAACAACACAGACCAGCGCTCTCAAACAATTCAGATTTTCTCCATGTTCCTACAATGAACTGAAGGAACTGGATGGATTTTAAAAGCACAGTCCCTTCACCAGTAGTTACAGATGGGATATCCTAAAATCCTTGTTAAAAACAAGGGAGATGGGAAATACAGAACAAATGTTTTTCACAGGAATGTGGGGGAAATCGCGTTTTTTCACTTTTTTTTATAAGTAAATGAAGACTTTGCAACAGAAATTGTAAACCCCATTTCACAAATGAAACAGAAGAAATGAAATGGTGCTCTTAAAACAGGAGACAAATCTACAGCAGGTGACGATTAGAGCCACAGACCTGAAACAGCATGTCAGATGTCCTTTGAACAGAAATAAAAATAACTACCAGTGTTTGATAAATGTGCTAAATAATTCAAGGATGGTTATCACCTGGCTTTGGTAACAGGGAAAAAAAAGCTGCCCCAAAATTCAAACATGTTATTTAACCCAGAAAAGCCTGTTATAGTCTGTTTTTATAAGCCTATAAAACTGGTGTTCTAAATAGTTCTGCAGAATGTAAAACACTATAGTGTTGCATATGAACAAACACCATATTTTTTACAAGGGATCTATTTGTTTGGTAATTTCAACTCTTTCAAATGAGGCCAAGGATACTAGTTTAGAAACTGTGACCACATGGATTTATTTGACAGGGGCCTCAACATTGACAGAGGTGCAAAATGAGCCCATTAGGAATAGCAGCACAGGTTTACAAAGGACGGCGCACAACATTCACTGGAAATGCAGCAAGACTAATGAAGACAAGGGGGCTTTACAAAGAAAAACAAAATGATGAAATGTCTTCTCAAAGAGTCTTAACAAAAAAAAGGTGCAGCATTTTGAAATTCTACTGAAACAAACCAGATACTGAGATACAGTATGTGATCTATCTATAGAAAGTGGATCCATTACATTTGACTTGTCACATTAAAGCACACAATGGGTTTCTGAAAAGAATGGCCCTTACAGGACACCATAACTTAAAAAAAGTTTACATTAACAACTAGTCTAAAAACAAAAAAACAAAGATTTCCTTTCAACCCTCCCCACCCCACCATCACCACAGGAAACCATTTCCCCCAAGGAAAGGGGAGTTCCCCTCCCCCAGGCTCTCTGGCCCAGGACAGCTTGGGTTTGGTCCAGGCTAACATTAATGTTAGGTACACAAGATACCTGTAGCTACTGGCAAGGATTAAACCCCCAGCTGGGCTGTCTTGTGTTTGTTAGTTGTGAAAGAGTTCAGAAAGGGAGGCTATGTAGTTATGAAAAAAGGCATTTCCTAAGGCTGTTCAGATTTCTCCCTTTGTGATGAGACCAGAGCCCCCCACACACACCCTAGACCTGCCTGAATTGGAAAATGAAAGTCCTACAGGGTTATTCCCCAGAGTGGCTCCAGTTCGGCAGGGTATCTTTCTCACTGCCTGTTTTTTTTCTTTTTTTTTTTACAGCTCATCCTTGAGGTTAGAGTCCGTTTCTTCCTCCTCTTCCTCATCGTCCTCCTCCTCCTCCTTCTCTTCGTCCTCCTCCTCGTCTTCATCTTCCTCCTCCTTTGTTTCTTCCTTCAGCTTCTTCTCATCCTCCTCACGCTTCTTCCTCTCCTCCTCTTCCTGGCTCTCCTTCATCTTCTTCTCTGGGTCCTGTGCACAAAGGTAAGGTGAGTTAGAGGTCCTTCATACTTTGGTAATCCTAGTCAGCATTGGCGCAACCTGACCTCATGAAAACATCTTTATCTTGACCACTTCTTCCAGTCAGCTGCCTAAGTGCTTTGTGCAGGAACTTGCACCCAAACAGGTGTAGAAATGCTTTGTTCAGGACTGTGATAACATACCTTAGTTAAACCCCATGTTTCATTGCCCACCTCTTCTGCAAACTTTTCGTCGTTTGTGATCAGGAAGTTATCAAAAATTGTGCCCGATTTCACCTGCAAGAAAAGGGGGAGGTGGGATCAGTCACAGTTCAGCACAGAAAATACTGTGTACATTTTCCATCCAATATTTGTTTAATGATGGACATTCAACATGCTCTCACATAGCATCTGCATTTTATCGCCCCACAATCTACCATAAAGTCCTGACTCCAATACCTTATATAAGAGATTCTCTTCTAACATAAAGCATTTAACTTGTCACAAAAGATGGACAAAGAATAAACATTAAGCCTTAAAAAACTGCCTTAAACCTACAGTAAGTGTGTAGACTTTCACTAAAGGTTTTACATAAGCTTTTACATAAACTATGCAGAAGTCAATTTTGCCTACCTGCCACAGGTCAAGACCAATGACACCAGCGCTGTCATACTTGTAGATTTCAGCATCGGGAGTGTACTCTGGATTGTCGATTTCAGGGTGCACCCACTTGCCTTTGTAGTTGGGGTTATCAATCTTGCGGGGTTTCCATTCACCCTGAAAGATTAAAGGGTGGCCTGTCATCAACTGTGCTGATGGTTCAACTCTGGTTCCCCCAAAACATGACAGCACCCTCACAACCCTGCTCCTGACGGAACCACTGCTCTAGGAACTGAGGCTTTATGCAGAAGATTACAGAGGGCACACGTGGAAACTATATGGAAGTGCATTTAACATGAACCACCCAGAGAGTGGTGGGAGTATGGAAAAACCAGCCACATGGTTGAAGCAGATTCCCCAGCTTTTTTCCCCATGAAAAAAATCAATTGATTTAGTAACTGCCCAAACAAGGAACGTGGGACAAATAGCATCCTCTTATTTATAACTTATGTTCTTATTTATTTAAGGGCATGTTTTCTGCTTCTGCTCCTGGCCAAGAGCAATTTGGATGAAGTCAATGCACAGGCAGGGCAAAGAGTTCAACTGAACTCTTGAGGAACTTGTATCTTGACACAACTTGAGGAACCCAGAGCTGGGCCCTGGCTACCCAGCAAGGAGATAATGGTACCTTGTACTCAGGGTTTGTGATCATGGGAGGCTCCCATTCGCCGTCCATCTCGTCATCCCAGTCCTCCGGCTTCTTGGCATCAGGGTCAGGAATGTGCTCAGGCTTGTCCCAGTCCTTTGAAAATAATAAAGACCGAAAAGGTTGTGTTTTCTTTCTTCTCTTTTCAGCAGGGAATGAACCCATTACATAAAGTTGATTTTTATTACTTTTCGGGGACCATGAAAAATAGATAAGCAGGTGTGGGAACAGTAAGCTCACTTACGCTGTAAACTACAATCTTGTAAACTCACAGCCTCAGCTAGAATAATGCCTATTAAATACATTGACATTATTGATCTGGTGCATACATGAACAAATCAAGAGCCCCTTCCACAGACCAAACTGACAGGACCAGGCTTGAGATTTTCCTCTGAACATTAAAATACATTCAGGAAAGACTTGCAATTATGAAAACTGAGCAATTATTTGTGGTATGATGGCATCATGCCCGGCAAGGAGATCACACACATGGCAATGAAATGTGGAAAGGACTACCAAGACATTCAGACCATGACCAGGTAAAAAAGACTGAACTCAATCCTATTTAGTTCTTCAAGAAAGACATTTACTTCCTCAAGGAGACAAAGTGTTATAGGGACCCATAATTTCAAACCCACCTGAGCACGGTTCTCCAATACGAGATCTACAGTACTATTTACATGGAATCAAAGTGTTGTGAGGACCCACATCACACACCCACCTCAGGCTTTGTGTCCTCGGGATCATCGATCTTCTCCCGCTCATCCCAGTCTTCTGGCTTTTTGGCCTCAGGGTCCTTGATCTTCTTGGGTGGCAGGAAGTCCCAGTCCTCTTCCAGACTCCCCGACTCCACCTTCTTGTTGTCCATCTTTACCTCATAGGTGTTGTCAGGGCGGACGATCAGGGTGTACAGGTGAGTGTACTCATCATCCTGACACAAGACAGACATCCACTTAAAACTGCAGCTTGAAACCTTCACAGTCCTAAAAAAGCTGCTGCACTTACTGGAGCAATAAACCAGACAGGATTTCTCCAAGACTACATCAGATCCAAATCATGTTTCTTGACAAATTAAATCAAACTGCTTTTGATGTCAAAACTGAACATTCTTGGGAAAGTTGCAGGAAACATTAACTTTCTACATTGTTGTTACAAGTTTTCATAAATATTTAGCATCAATTACAAAATCAGCTTCCCAACCCTTGGGCTGACTGAATCCAGTGGAAACAAGCCTTAAGATCACCTCACAGCAAAAATGTTATTTAACATACCTTGCAACGGATGTCTTTGTTAATAAGGTGGTTCTTTCCCTTGTAATTAAATATGACGTGGACTTTTTTGGTCCCTGGACCACAGATATCAGGCCCTGTAAGATGCAGGAAACCAATATCAGGAACAAACAAAAGACCATTGTGTCGCCATCAATCCATACTGGGACACAATTCAATGCATTTAAAATGATTTTATAAAATCATTTTTTTTTTTTAATATAGAAGGTACAATCCTTTCTGTGGTTCACTGTCCCCCCAAATCATTTAAGCCAGTACCGAAACACAAAATACAAAACACTTGCATCACTGCCACTGGGTTGTGAATCATGTTCTTACTGTCGCGCTCCTCATGAAGAACGAATTAACTGCAAATTTTTAAAGGGTCTTCTGACGGTATGCACTGTGTAGTTGAACACGAGCAATACATGGCAGGTGGAACTGTAAGTTAGTTTAAAAGCGATATCCGTTTTCAAAAGTCACCCAGAACCTTACTAAGGTCAAACACGGTGCAGATTGGAATACCTTCTACTTATGTTAAGTGCTAATGTGATGTAAGAGACTCTACCCTGGTGTTTCACACTTTCAACACATCACCAAAAAAGTATTATCCTGGAACCCTGTAGGACTTCCTCCCTGCGGTTCCCAACTCTGGTCCTACAGGACCACTGTGTCTGCTATTTTTAATTCCAGCTTTCATTCCAAATCCCTGGGGCTAATTGGCATGTTTCTACACTGCAGTCCTGAATTTCAACGCTCCTTATTATTATTATTATTATTATTATTATAGGTGTACAATTTCCCACATCTTCAGAACACAAAGGCTGTCTCTTCCCAACTACCCTTATTTCTGACTAAACCCACTTGGAATATTTACAGAGGGCAGACGGGGACCAGAATGGCCTAGAGTGGCATGCATGTCCATGGAAAATTCTAACTCTCATAAATTAGTGCGTTTTCCTTCTGCAGAAGTCCATTTGGTTCCATTTTATGCAAAACACCTGAAATGAAGGAATTCTGAAAATCTGGAATTGGTACCAATTACAAATCACATTTGAGCTTTTCAGTGGTGAAAGCAAACTTAAAAATAGATCCCAAACTTCTCTGCGATTTAGAGCATGGCCGAAGCAAAAGAACGGGTCAGAGCCACTGACTTAACTCGCCAATTGAAACCACAGGACTCTTTCCACTGTTTTCTGCAGATGCAATATATAAAAGTACTCCTGTCACAGTTCTCAATAAGAAATAATCAAACATTTCACTTGAATCGCTATACTGCTGTCATCACTGACTATGAAAGCACTCTTTTCACATTCAAATTCAAGGGCATTCATAAGGTAACCAAGTTATAGAAAGTGATCTAGTTATACTTTTTTACTATTGAAAACAAACAGAAAAACAGACTTTTCCCATGTGTGCTAATGGCACACAGACTGGGAGACCTACCAAACATGAGGTTGTAGGCGGAGTCCCCGTGCATGTCTTCCTGGTTGAGGTCGGCTGGGAAGAGTTTGATGTAGCCGCCACCACAGTCGATGTTCTGCTCGTGCTTCACGCTGAACTGGACGACCAGGGTCTGGCCTTCGTTGCTGAAGGGCTCAAACCGGGAAGACAGGGAGTAGAACCTGGCATCCTGGCTTGTCTGTAGGCCTGGGAGGAACAGAGAGGAAGAGCTCAAACCCCAGGAATGACTTCCCTGGCATTGAGGCCCCTCCAAACCCAAGATACAATTCCAATTCCAATGAACACCTTAAAGATGCTTTGGGAACGTCTTGTTTTTTTTAATAAAAGTTTTCAATTACGATTTCAGAGATGTGAAAATATGAAGAAATTCCACAGCCCTGAGAATGCGGGAGGGGTTCGTCGTTTGACAGGTATACAAGAGCAATTCAAACGTCAGCAAACTTTCGCTTTCCTAAAAACGTCTTTTTTAATTCAGTGCCAAAGCCAGTGCTGGCAACCGACGTGCTCACACGACAAACAATCAAAGGGCAACACTTCAGCATGCACCACATTACAGCAGTAGTTCTCAAATGGCAAAGGTGTATGAATACAATGAAAACAAAAAGCATGTCAGGCTGTGTGTGCCTCCCAAATCCTGATTCATAGAAGGAGCTGTTTCAGATGAGGGGACTGTTCCGGTAGTTGGCTTCAATTCAAGATGTTGCCCAAAACTGAGCCAGTCAGCATAATGCAGACTCTCAGTGCTGCAACACTTTCAGTGAAATAATTTACTCAAGTTATTTTAAATTTTTCAGATTTGAAATGGCTAGATACCTTTAACACTGGAGACAAAGATTTAACTGAACTGCACTAGATCAATCAAGACTGCGACCCAGCTCAATCACGTAGAAAAAAGAATGAAGTAAACTACAATGACAAGTTAAGGGTGATGATCTCATTGACTTGAATTAATTCACAAAAGATCAGAGCAGGTGGAATGTGAAAGCTCTACTCCTGTATTTTCACATCCTGTTCTTTGTGATCATGTAATAAGATCACAGGTGTAAGCTACGTGATTTAGCCGAATGTGTAATATAACCCCCTGTCAGGTATGGCAAAATACTTCCTACTTCAGGCCTGTATGCAAGAGGCCTGTAACGTTAGGCAATACTGCAATATGATCCTACCACCTTGGTGCATTATTACAATGCACTGCCAGCCACCAGCTTCTTGTCAGAACGAACTATATGGAAGCCAACTGCTTTTCAAAAACATTACGAAAAACATCATTAGTTAGCTCCCAATTAGTTGATCCCTTTTAATAAAGCCTTAATAGACGAACATGAATCAGCAGTTTCAAGATTGTCTTTTTGTCCCATTTACCTTTTAATACAAAGGAGATAATTGGAAATGTTTCGGCGAGTCAGCAGAAATAAGCCTGCCTTCTCCTAAAAGTAGCTCAGCTATTGCAGCATAGCAAGGCTTCTCACTATAAATTCCCACTTGTGTCACTACGGCACACAATGACTGCTCGGACATGTTTCCCATCAACAGCACCACAAACTCTTCAAGTTGCTAAGGCAGCACTTCCTCACCAGACTGTCACAGCTCGCGGGAATGTTCTTTCCAGTTTAAAATCTGATAAATCAATTCTGAAGACCTATAATTCACAGGAATGGGGAGAAAAAAGTATATACAGAACCCTGCTCTTGGAAACAAAAGCTTTGGTCTAGTTTCCAGAAATACACTGCTTTAGATTCCATGGGAGAAAAATAATCATGGCATATTTATGCAAGTTTTTTTTATCCCTTTGCTTTTTAATTCGCTTTAATGTACATCAAAATGCAGTAGTAAAATAGTTAGATAGGTTGTGCTTGCTGTCTAAATCAACTTTTTAAATAAACCAAACTTTGAAAAAGCATGTAAAAAAAGAAATGCTGGCATTCATCTGCAGCGACAGCATTTTAAATCCAGTTTTTGCCACTGAATGCGTTTTTCCTCCCAAACACATATAAACTATTTGTGACAATTCTCTTTACAGTATGAAGCTCCTCTTGAATAAAAAAACTTTGTCACTGAAGATTAATTACAAATTGCCTTTTTTGAAACTGAGCAAAATCAGGCTCCAACAAACCCAGATCTTGAAGAAGGTTTCTGATTGATTTCATTCAGCACCTTCTTCAAATACAGCACCCTGATGCCTTGAATACCCATATTCATAAGGCACATACTCTAAATACTAAGCAGTTGCTTGTTTACAATAGTTTTATTTAAGAGATACACAAGCTTATTTGTTTAGACAGCAGCAAATACTTCACTTTCAAGCACATTTAACATTTAAATTCTAGATGACAGATTGAACGATGTGTTCGTTTAATGCAATGAGATTACTTCCGTAATACACTTAGGACTCCAATTCAAGGATTAATAAGAATTGGAGAGGCAGCAGAGATAATGTCTTACTTCATTGTGCCCCTGCTTTCTTTATGGGCACAATAAACTTAATCCCTGTGACATTTTTTAGGAGGCCCAGTGTATTTTTGGTGGAATAACATTATAGGACTGGTGCTTTTCCCTAGCTCAGTCAAATATTACTCATTGCAAATTTGCGAGAGATTATAGATTTTGGCTCTCGCACTACCTGTACAGGGTCAGAAAGCACAGAACACTAGTTGCTCAGGTGGAAGACACCAATACCAAATCTAGAAAGCTCTGTGGTTTCTACACATTTCAGCATAAGCAATACCAGCAGCCCCAGTAAGGTCTTCTGGAAGCTTCCCAGTAGCTAAACCCGAGCTCTCCTCACCTTTGTCTTTCTCCGCATCTCCGTAGAACTTCCCAGCTGTCAGAACAAACTTCCCGTAGTCTGACTTGTGCTTTGATTCCACCCATCGGCTCTTCCAGGCATCTGTCGAGGGAAATTCAACGTTACTGCTAACGTTGTAACAAGCGTCAGTGCAAGCAGTAATGTGGGTTCTCTATGAAGAACTGCAGAAGCCTGCCTTCATAGGTGGTTCACAAATGACCCGGCTTGTATCATAGATTGAAAGATAGTTGTGATAAGAAACCTAAAGGCACAGACGGTACATCTCAGGTAACACCACCATTATTCCTCAGTTCATTGAAAGACCTCATCACCTTGCGGGGCGTGCTGGAACAACTTCGTTTGTACAAGGATACTGTTTTGACTGGGGGAACTCCAACGGGGAAAGTAAAGTACATTTTAAAATTAATTTTAAAAAAAGTACTAGTGATAAAAATAACAACCTAGATTGCAAATCGGTAACGCCGGCTTACTGAGAACTACATTTTTAGAGCAGACTTTCAAGGTCTAACAAAGAGAACACTTTTAGCTCATGCTAGCATTCCATTGAATTAAAACGGGATAATTCAATGGAATTTAAAGATTCAGCGTTACTTTTAACACGTTAATTACCACTTACGTGATCCCCAAGTATCACTTGAATTCTCTCATATAGTTATTCCCACCTTTTAACAATTTTCATTATCTTCAGGCCTCAGAATAAAAACTGCTCCTCGGTATTGGCATTTAATATCACAGAACCCAATTATGAAAAGTATATAAAAATAACAGCTGCATTTCTAATGACAGATCCTAACCGATGCCAAACACATGGCATGTATGCATCTTAATTAAATCCCCGCAATACAATTCAAATAACAATAACAAATATACAGATGCTTTTAGTTATCCCGACATTTTAGGAATTTAAATGTCATACCTTAAAATTAACCACCCCTCCCCCACTGATCAATCAACACAGAGGCATTTAAACTGACACACGAAGAACTTCAACTTATCTTGCATGCAAATAATAAACAATCCAAAATAAAAAAGAAAGGCATACTTCTTTCTTAATCATTTTAACTTACCCCCATCCTCAAACTGCTCCCGAAAATATACAATGGGTTCAGCACAAGCCAGGGCAAAAAAAGCAGCCAATACTAACACCTTCATGATGATTAAATAGCTAGCGTTTTAATTCAATTTTCTATTAAGCATATACAGTTTTTATTTATATAAATAACCCTTAAAATGTATGTGCTCGGGCAGTTTACCGTCACGCCTGCCTTCAGATTCCTGCCCGGCAGCTCTGCACAGAAGCAAGGAATCTCCTCTCTGCTCACAACAGATGTCTGCTTCCCATTGGCTGAAGGCTCTGAGAGGCTGGCGCAACGGCTACAGCCAATCAGACATCTAGACGAATCTAAGGGCTGTACACTCTCGGCCAATGAGAGTCGACCACGCGTTTCACTGTCACTCCCCCCTGCAAAAAGCCTTCTTGACCAATTCTGGTCTAAGTGCTTATATTGTATTTCGTAAAATAAAGACTTCTAAATTTTAAATGAATGCAATATTAATACATTTCAAGTAGGATATGAATTCAATATGGAATAGACAGCTACGCAAATTTCGTAAATGCATCACAATCAAAGACATTACTTCTTATTTCTCCCAGTGTTTAACTCCTTCTTTGGTTTGGCTTTCAAATTATGTAATATCACGTTTTCCACAAGATGGGGAAAAACGGTACTGAAATTTTAAGTGCGTTCGAGTTTCTGGTTGAGGAATGGGTGAAAAACGAAAGAGAAAGTGTGACAAAACGAAGTATCGCTGCAGCCGGACACCCCGGTATAATTTAAAAACAAACTGAAGTTAACAGAGCGTACCGTGCAATCAGGTATTCTTATTTTCCGTGGTGACTTCATTTGTAGGAATTAAGGTTTGTATTTGTTTTTCTGCATTATTCGTCCTAAAAAGTGCCTGCTTGTTTCTCCTCACCCCCATACTGTACTGTAGGTCTTGCTTGAATGTACTATGGATGAGAGAGATTGGGCTTGCTGTGATGTTTTTCTTTTGGCCGGATTCTAAACGTTTGGGTTCACAACTACGGTACAGGTAACGACTGGTTATTGCTAATAGGCAATTGGAAAGCTAACATGCAATATCCCAGAGAAAACAGAGGGACTATACGTATAACCAGATGCTGTATTCAAAAGTGTTGTTCTATTCTCATTTCAATTACTGATGACTAAGAAGAGTATTTGATTCTCCTTTATCCAAGACTTGCAAACAGTGTTGTCCTGAGAAATCTGACAACTGTAAACTTGTTAAACAGATAAGACAGGCATATTAAAACGACATTTGCTTTTTTACAGGTACAAAATTGTGTCTGCAAAATTTTATTAGATGCATTTCTCAGTTCAGGTTTAATCAACAGTACCATCCAGCCCTGTAAATGACAAATTGCAGACAGGCACAAAGCAGTCAAGGGATATTGAAAAAGTTGCCCCCCATTTTCATCTGAAAGCAGCTACTCTCTGATTCAAGTAGGTAGTTGTGTCAGCATGCGTAGGCTGCAAAGAAACACACCTGTTGTCTCTTTTCTTTCCCTCCCAGCATGGAATAAACATTTACCTCAGCTTATCCTTGTCCTGGATTCACAGCTATGTTAAAACTAGTTTCTTGGGTTGTGTTTACTTTAGAGGCATTAAAATAATGAACCATATCCCTTCACTGCCTTCTTTTAAGACTAAAGAGGTTAAGGTCCTTTAAAATGCCTCTGTGTGACATTTCTTTGAGACATGGAAAGACTTTCACACTGGTTGTTTTTTGGTCCAGATCAGCGAAAACCTCTTTAACAACTGTAACCAAAAATGAGGATCATATCACAAATGAGGTTTTATAGTTTTTTAATGCAGATTACTTCAATATAAGCTTGTCGGTTTTGCTGTACAGTCACACATTTACATGGGCACATTCATCCTTTTCAGATTTTTTTCCCTAATGTTCAGCACTGATGCGTGGCATAGGGGGCACAATGGTTAGCATTGCTGCCTCGTAGCACTGAGGCCCTGGGTTCAATTCCTGGGGTGCTCTCTGCGTGGAGTTTGTACATTCTCCCCATGTAAGTTAATTGGCTTCTGGGAAAATTGGCCCACCCTGTGAGTGTTTGCAGTACGATGGACTGGCATCTCTCCTTGCACACATTGCCTGCTGGGATAGGCTCTGGCTTCCCCGCGACCCTGATTTGGATGAAATGGTTAGAAAATGGGTGTATGGATGTTCAGCCCTGTTTGAATTAACTAGGGGCAATGCAGAGCTTAGGCCCGTGGCATCCTGAACAGAAGGAGAGTTTTAGGTTTGTGTTGTTATTGAAGACAGTGCTGTGGCATCTCCAAGCAAGGTGAGCAAGGTATCTTGCCCCATTTCTGATGCCCATCTACAGTATCTGGAAATGAGTACCAGCATTGCACTATTCGGGTGAGCATCCTTTTGCCTACTGAATGTTACAGCACCTAACAAAAACTCTCTGATGAGCCACTAGATTTCACTGATGTGACCCAGTTGTGTTATAAATTGCCACCTTTCAAAGCTTTTGGAAAAGTATTCATTTTGGGTGAATCAGTGCTGTAATAGGATCAATGAAGTTAGTTAAAAAGACAGAAAGGCCATGAAGCCCTCCAAAAACCCCAACCAATGTCATTTAATGGGTTTCCTGCTCTAGTTCTCTTGGTTTCTGTGTTATTTTATCACTCTAATGTCCACAGTGTAGTGATGCTCAGAGCATCAGAACATAATAATTTAACATAAGGAGTCGGACATTAAATTGAAATTTCAACCCATCCTCCAACTACAATACTAAAAACACCTGCCTGAGTCTGAGTTTTCTATGGGCATAAGGTATAAGAATCCGGAAAAGGTATACGATTCGGAAACATTAAAGGTACCATTAAAATATTGGGTTCTGGAATTAATTATTAGTCTGGAATTAAAGTGTTTATAGGTTGCCTACAGTTTAAATATTTTATTGTGTAAAAGGAATGCTAAACCTTTACTGTAAGCGCAAAAAGTGTTGGCCATTGTCTGACCAGAAGGCATTACAGGGGGTGATCAGGTCAGCCAAGCCCATCCCTGGGGTACAGCTCCCCTCTATTGTGGACATTTTTACAGCTCGATGTCTCAGGAAGGCTGGAAGTATCGCTAAGGACACCAGTCATTCTGGTATTTTCTCCCCCCTTCCCTCTGGTAAGCATTATAGGAGCATAAAGGCACAAACTTCCAAATTCAGAGACAGGATCTTCCCACAAGCTGTCAGATTACTGAACTTTACCCCTACCACTGGCTCACACTTATGTTTTTTTTTTCTTTTTTAAGTTGTACGTTATTTAACTTGTTGCTGCTACTGCTGTTTTGTGTTTCTGTTTTTGAAGATTCCTTTAATGTCTTTTTGTATTGGAGCATACATTGCACTTGTGCATAGCACAATAAACTGAACTCAGCTGTATTGATATTGCTGTTTAATTACCGTACAGGGCACAACAATTTTATAACGCTACAGATGTCTGATGAAATACCAGTGTGGTTGGTTTAGTGGTTCCACTACGGCTATGGAAACCTGATATGGCATTTTTGAGTGGTGAAGTTCTGTCTTAATGGTGAAAGCGATGCAATTTGTGACAAGACTACGGTCTGAATTCTAGGGTTGCTTTTCAGTCGTAAACGTCACAAAGGGGAGGGGGGGTCATCTGACGTAGCCAAACATTCGGAATCGTGCGATGTGACGTCACCGCGGGCTGCTGGTGTTTGTTGTGTCAAGATGGCGGCAGTGAGATGAATGGGGTTGTCTCGCTACTGTAGAAAGTTGATGGTGGTATTTTAACAGTTTTTTGCTCTCGTGTTTGTCTTCTTTTCTGTTTGTTTTAGTTAGTTACCATTTCTTTTTTTAAGAAGAAGCATTAGAATGGCAATATGACACAGGCCAAGAAGAAAAAGCGGACGAACCGCAGTATTATGCTGGCGAAGAAGATCATCATTAAGGATGGAGGAACGGTGAGCGGATTTCTTGTAAACTTGTAAATGAGCATTTTATTGCTGTAATTTAGCGTATAACTTTATGGGGAGAGCTGATTTAATGTTTAACGGCCTGAACTGTGTGTTTTGTCGACCAGCTGCTTGGAGACTCTTGATCTGGGTCTTCCGCTGCGTGTATCCGAGGCGGTGTCACGCCTGAAATCCGCTTGCTGATCACACCTGAGCGGCCGGGCTGGCTCCTGTCGCTGCATCGTTTTAGCTGTTCCGGGGAGATGCGATGTGTTGTTGCGCCACGTTCTCCCCCCATTCCTTCTCCTTGTCGTTTATCAGATTCTTTATAAGAAAATGTGTCCATCTGTCATGTTGGACATGAGGATCGCTTATGCGGCCGTGCAGAATGCGACGGTCTTTTGATGGAGTACAGTGGAAGACCCGATGTTAAATAAAATCTCAGGGCAGCAGTGGGAGTATTGAAGTGTTTTTTTTTTATTCGGAGTGAGTGTTCGCGTTGGCGTTCTGGACTTTCCGCCCCGGAGTGTTTTGATGACGAAATAAGCGAGACAGCGCTGGATGCGCCGCAGCGATTTTGCAGACAGTAAGCAAAGAGCTGGCCTTGTCATCGCGCTGCTCGTCTGTTCGTAGATGGGGGATGAAAATAAAGGCGAAGCACAGACCTTGCCAGGTCGCGGGAGCTTATCAGCGTGATAAACGAGCGTGTGGCGATGACAGGAGGCAGGACAATGCCTGGACGCGTGTGTCTCTATTCTCTCTCAATAGTCCATCTGCGCTCTGGGGTGCTAAAGAAAAGCACTCACTTTTCCTAATTGTATTTTTTCCCCTTGTCACAGCCACAGGGAATAGGATCTCCCAGCGTGTACCATGCAGTGATCGTGATATTCCTGGAGTTCTTTGCCTGGGGTCTTCTGACTGCTCCCACCCTAGTGGTAAGGATGAGGTTTTCCTGATTTCGGGGTAGAAGGACATTGTAAAACGAATGCCGTGTGTTATTTCCTGACAGTTTCCTCCAGCCATAATAATTATTGACTTACTCAACAGTGCTTCTGAGGAGAGTTTGTGAGTGACTGACCAAAATATCATCATTGGAAAAGTAGCTTTGATTGGTCTCTGGTTGAGGTGAAGGACAAAATATCATAGGTGCCTTCTTCCTGCTTTGTGCACGCTTCAAAACTGAATGGGGTATTTTCTGCTGAAATACCTTACCATTTCAGGTGGTTGTAAGAGTATGATTTTCCCAGTTTTTATGAAATCCGCTTTTGCAGGCTGCCATCTTGAAAGGCTTTATGAAACATTCCCCAGTGTATCCTCAATATTTTGATTCAGTGCAATTTCATGTCCCAGTGATGGGTGGTTCTGGATTTCGTGAGAACAAAACCTGACAGCCACATCTGCAGAAATTCGCTTCTCGTTTTAAATGAAACACCTTTTGTTGGGCAATCACGGGAATCTGTACATTTCTTCTGTAGCTTGAATCCCACTAGGACCCCATTCTTATCTTGCGAGTAGTTGTCTTTTCCCTTCCAAGAACCATACAGACTGTATCACTTAAATGGCACTGTTGTCATCTCTGCACAGTTCAGCCTTTTACTACGACTGTATGATTCAGCACACTGTGTTCCCCTCAACTCCCTGGGTGCTAAAAATAGCAGACAGATGCACAGGTTATATGACTAAGTGGGTAGCTGCAGTTGCAATGTTTTCTAAGCATGTTAGCTGTTTCAGTCATATCTCAGAAGATAGTGGGCCTTCTTGAGGTGTATGGAAAAAGTTGTGTAACTTCTGAAGAGGACTATGCAGCTGAGATGTTATTTTTCTCTCCTTTTTTACTTTTTGGCATGGAATGTAGCTCTACTTGTTCCTTTTGTGGTATACACAGATTGAGCATAGGAACAGGAATGTGAGAGGAGGCATTTCTGCTCATCCTGCTTGTTTTTGGGTATCACTATCTGACTATCTACAGATCTCCCACAGACTTGCAGGATCACAAAGTCTGGGCTTTTACAACTTATTTGCTTTGTTTGCAGGCACAAACAACTCTTTTTACAAAGTGACACCCTTTTATTTTCTTCCGTTACACTTCCTAGTAGTTTTTCACCTATGCTCAAAGGTCTTTATTTCATGGTTGCGCTTCAAATAATCCAGTGGATTCATTTAGATGGTGTTTAGTCATATAGGATTTTGAAGACTAATTCCAAGCCAATCCCTCATTTAGTGCAATATTGTCTGGAGGTATTGTAACCGTGCCATTTGTTGTATGTGCAGTTATAGTATCTGAAAGATATCAGTGCATTTCCAGTCTTTATGGTTTGTTACGCTGAAAAAAAAAAAGAAATAGGTAATGTTCTGAAAGATGTCTTGGGTCAAATCAAGACTTGTAGATACGTAATAGAAGAAAATACAAGTCTTTAAGAAAAAATTGAATGTTAAGCCTGTTACAAATATCTCATTGTAAACTGTAGCTTAATTCTGTTGTACTGTATGCCTGTAATTTCTTTAACTGAAGGATTACTGGTCAAAAAGCTTAATGTGTTTTTCTGTTCAATTAGGCAAATGTGTTGAACTTAACTTAACCTTATGTAGTTCTATCTTTGGTAATGGTTTATTTCTCAGAAAATGGTGGGTTTCAGGGGTTTTTTTTCTTCTTAAAGGTTTTGCACGAGACATTCCCAAAACATACGTTTTTGATGAATGGCTTGATTCAGGGAGTAAAGGTGAGAAACATTCTGCAAAAATTCACATTTGTACTCGGCTTTGCAAATCCCAAACATATTCATAAACATAAATCTGCCTATCTGTGTGTGACTTGTGTTGTGAAACAAGTTGTCGGTGTTGTTGATTATGCACGCTTAATTAAATCTTGCTTGATTAAGTCTTTAAATCCTCCTGACTTAACCGATATATCTTGTGAATCAAATCCTTAACTGTTACTTTTATGTTTATAAATGCATCATTTTTACTGAGATAAAGTGTGCAGGTAATTTCAAGCTTTTATAATGGAAAAACAGGTAGACATGAAAGATTAAGAATTTTATTTTTCTCAGATTTTTACTGCTTTCTCTTAGTATGTCTTGTAAATGGCTTGAATTTATTTACATGACTCTGTAATGGCTTACCTGCATCCCGTTTTGCGTTGTTATTTAGCTGTGTAAAGTTCATCACATTTCAAAGAAGAACGCCCTTTGCAATGTTACTGTTGTTTATCATGGCTTATATTTTATCTGAAGGGTCTGCTCTCATTCCTGAGTGCTCCCCTAATTGGTGCCCTGTCAGATGTCTGGGGACGCAAGTCCTTCCTGCTGCTAACGGTCTTCTTTACCTGTGCTCCCATTCCTCTCATGAAGATCAGCCCTTGGTAGGTTGGTCTTTCTTCATCTGCTGTTGGGAGGCAAAGCAAAACTTCACTATTCAAAACGTCCCTGCAAGGCTCTTGGTAGTTCAGTTCAGTTGTTTCTCTGATTTTGTTAACACCTGTGAAACAACTTTCACATCACCAATAGCAACTATAAAATCACGAATGAGAAGATACTGGTGTTAGGAAGAGAAAGCATCATATTCATATACTATCACCTGTGAAGTTTGCATCTATTTACCATAGACTGATAGCTTATTGTCTTGGCGAGAAAATGACTGCACACAGTTATGTCATTGGGTTGGGTCTTGTCTTTACCTATGATTCTGTGCAAAGTAAGCACAGAACATACTTGCACTTTTAAGTATGAGCACACAGAATGTGTTTTTTCAGTCTTATGCTTGATTTGGAGATCCGTAACTCGACCTACTTATCAGGATACACGTAGGATGGGGTTGTTGACAGCGATTTGCGGCTGTGGACTTCATCAAGTTGTTAGGCATCCTCAATTCTGACACGTTTTCCCATGTTTGTCTTTCAGGTGGTACTTTGCAGTAATTTCTGTGTCTGGGGTATTTGCTGTAACTTTCTCTGTGGTATTTGCTTATGTGGCCGACATAACCCAGGAACATGAGAGGAGTATGGCGTATGGATTGGTATGTATTTGAAAAGAGGACAACCTAGTATTTACATTTGTTTTCCTCCAGCAGGTTAGTGTCTTTAAAAATGGATAAACCAATTCTGGCCTTCACAGGGGACATTGGTGTGGGCTTCTGAAGTGCACTATCTATGCAGAATGGAAACTTTCATGCTTGTAAAGCTCCACATTCCCACTGACTGTTGGCCACAGCGCCATGGGTGACCAGTTCTGTTCTACAGCTCACCATGTTTTCACCTGGCTGGCGTTAAAGCCTTGTGAAAGAGGCAGGATGATTTCAATGAACTTGACAGGACATGTTTCCTTTCCTCCATTTTACTTAGCCCAGTGAAAGCACTCCAGTCTCATTTCATAGTTCAACCAAAGCAAGTTTGTGTGCGACAGGAGACTAAAAAGGTCTGTTTTCTGTTCTGTATTGTTTACTCAGCTATGTAAACACAAATACACTGACTCAGCTCAGAACTGAAAAAATAATTGTAGAATTGAGGGGTGGATGGATTAAGAATGTTTGTTATTAAAATATCTATTTCACATGAAATCCATAGTTACCATTTAACTTTTTTGGTGTGGCTTATAGTTTTTCCAGTGTGGCTAAAAATGCTTAGTGTTGGCAAATTAAAATCCCTTTCCCATTGAATATAGTTGCAAAACAATGAGGTTAGCAGCTGAATTGGCTCCAGTAAATAATGACAATCTGATGCAGAGTACAAGCAAGAGGAGTGGCCTGAAGTTCTTTTCCTCTTCAGTTTCCCTGTATTAAGGCTTTTTTTTCAAACCAGAGAAATGGGTTGCTCCAGCACCAAGAGAAGACAGGGCTCTGTCTAGGCACCAGCAAGAATGAGGTTTTTGTGTGAGGAAGAAACATCATTCCAGAAAAGCTTCATTCCAATAGTCAGGATTCAAAGAAGTTTGAATATCATCGCTATTTAGATGGACTTTAAATAAAAAACAAAAATTATCATGCAGAATTCCCTCATGAATTCCGCAGTAGCCTGCTTCTGTTGTGTCACATTTGAATAACCAAGAGTTAATAACGAATAATTGGCAACCCAGCTCCCAGCAGTCACAGGCTCTCTGGGATAGAAGTACAGGTATTGGACTGTTCTTTCCCAGCATTCATCAGGCTAACACCCCGCTCTAAACCCAAAGGAGCCCTATGGTTTATTGTACAAGGGCTCAGACTTCCTCATCTATTTCAACCAAGCCTAACTTTTCAATGTAATTAATTTATAATTATTTCTATGCTTATCAGCCACCCTTATGTAGGATAACCTACAGTGAAAATATTTATTTGTAAATACAATTAAACAGTTGTGCAGGTATGGTAAGTTCAAATGAATAAGGTGAGATGATTAGGATAGCTCAAACGGGACAAGCAGCGCACAGGCCACTCAAAGGAAATATCGTAGTTGCATTATTTATCTTTGTCTTCTCCACTGTTATTAACCGTTGCAGGCTGGGTACAAATGCCTATAGAACAACCTATGCAGATGATCGTCAAACTAAATACTGATTATGGCATAAATAGAGTTGCATTACTACAAACAAACATCCCTATTGTGAATAGCAAACAAGTTGTTAGAGAATCTGACAAGAAATGTAACAGAAGTTGGACGTTTTAATACCTGTCCTGTCCAGATGTCACTTTTTTTTTACCACTTTCCAAAAGGAAGGAAAGGTTTAGCATTTTGGCATCTGTGGTGCGCAGAAGTGATAAGGGTGCCTCTCAGTGTTGTCATTTAGCACTGCTGATGATGGATGAGGTTGCTCAAAAGAGCTTTTGTATCTGCTTAATTAGACTCTTAATGAAGTACTCCATTAACTTGGTCGTTGAGAAACAGCAGCAGGTGTGGTCTCTGAATTCAGAATTGATCTTGATAGTGACCAAGCTTCCATAAACATATTGTAACACAGTACAAGGACCAGCAGAGACTGTTTTACTTTTAATTACTGTACAAACATTATCTGTTAATTGTAGAAATTGGTATCATGTGAACTAATTTGTAAAGGAGGTTTTTCAGTGTCATCACTAGCTGTGCAACCTGCCTTGGAGGTCTTTACCAGTCAGTAGTTTAAAGCAGAATGGCCAGCATGAGCTCTTCCTGTTTCACAAAGTGCTGAAGCACACCCTCCTTCAGAGCTCCTGACAAAACGAGTTAAAGCTATAGCACACCTCAGTGTCACACTCAACCCTTCTTGTAGACAAGCCAGCTCCAGTGTCAGTTTTCACACTAAGTCTAAGTACTTTTCAAAGGCACTCAGGACAAGGAGATCTATTCGTTTGATCTAACCTTCAGCTTTTCTGGCATGGTTTGTGATTATTTTGGTTTGTGTGTGGTTGTATTAAAAGGAAGGATGCCTTTTTAAGTTTGTATCTCTTCTGCTTTCTGTACAGTTGTTTCATATTCATTTTGTATAAAAGTACCTTTGACTCACTTTTGGGTACCTTGAAATGTGCTGTGTAAGAATGATATTAGGTGCCAGAAGGAGTCGAGTGTGACACTGTGTGTCTCATTAAAAATAGAAAAGGATGGCTTCGGCGAAAAAACAACAACATTAACTTGTGTCCAGTTTATTCTGGGTCATTGGATATTTTCTTTTGTTCTGTAATTGAAGGTTTCGGCAACTTTTGCGGCCAGCCTGGTGACCAGCCCGGCAATTGGAGCCTACCTTGGGAGAGTGTATGGAGACAGTCTGGTGGTGGTACTGGCCACGGCCATTGCACTGCTGGACATCTGCTTTATCCTGGTGGCCGTGCCGGAGTCCCTCCCGGAGAAGATGAGGCCGGCGTCCTGGGGAGCCCCCATCTCCTGGGAGCAGGCTGATCCATTTGCAGTGAGTACTGAGTCTGCAGTGGCCACGGAGCTCTGACTGATTTAGATGCTGACTCGGGTCAGTCTGTATGGAAGATGTTGGAATACGTCTGAATGGCGCCCTAGTGGGTACACTAGAAGGGATGCCATTTTTGTCACTGGCCACTTAATATGCATTTGTTTGAGTTAATGGCCATAATACTGGAGAATGATTGCACAGAACCATTTCTCCACTTGGTTTATACAGATTCTGCCAGTCTTGTCATTTAAAAGAAATTTAATGGGTTAATTGCACCTCCTCTGGTATTGAAGGCTTATCGGGGCTTAGGTGAAATTCCGAATTTACTTTGGGATCTCTCTGAAAAACGCATAGAGAAAGTTCAGAGTGTTCTGAAATAGCCATTGCAGCATGCTAAAATCTTGATTAAGAATAATCAAAAATGATGTAGAATATTGGATTTGTACAGTGGGGCTGTCCAAACCAGAGTTTAAATTTTTGGGTGTCGGTGCCAGTGTGTGTGGATGAGTCGTGCATCTGTGTCTCAAATTCAGTGAGTGCCTACTGTATCATAATGATATCCGCACCATGACAAAGTGGGCTCTTCATCTGCATGCTCCATATGGCCCAGTGTGACCAACAGGCATTGTGCTGCCATTCTGACAGACACCTGCAGATCTGCTGACAGTGTCCGTATCTGTCTCTCTGTTTCCTGCGGCTCTGACGCTGCAGTTCTGTTCTGAATCTCTTGCTTGTAGATTTTCCCTTAAAGTGCTGAGCAGTCTTTTCAGTAGCAAGTCTGACTTGCTAGTCGGGTTCATCTGCACATCTGATGTATTCAGGTCTCCACTGACATTCCAAAACACGCCTACAAAGAAGCATTATAAATGATGGTCAAAAATAATAAAAGCTGAGATGTGAAATCACTTCTGAAGCACGTACTGCAGTGAGAGATAAGGAAAGCAGGACCCACAGCGTTTCCATTTTTGGGATGCTGAAGAACAGCAGTTCTCTAATGATGAGCTAGCAAGACAACTTTCGGTTGCATGTCTGGACACATTCTGGTATTTTGCATGTACCTGCTGCAACATCAGATGAGTTATCTGCTTGCAAAACTGTTTTCAAATCCTACAGCATATACCTGTTTGCTTTTTTTAGCAAGCTCTTTAAACAAAGAAAAGCTTGTGTGTGGGTTTTAAGACTAAGACTAAGACTTAAGGAAGAAGAGGAACTTTCTTCATACTGAAACTAGCCAGTGCTGTTTATTGTGATCCTAAACTAGTATCCTGGCTAAATCATGTTGGATCTAAATCTCATCCATTGTTTTTCCCTTTTGTCTAGACAACACACAACCAGATTATTTCAACCTTTTAATTTTGTAAAATGTTGGAAACACCGGAGTCCTACATTGCCTTCTTTGCTTGCTGAGATAGGCTCTGGCTCCCCCGTGATTTTGTATTGACTAAAAGTGGATGGATGGATTGGTAAAATATGTTAAGCACTTATTCCAGAGCCAAATAAGTGATTGTACCAGGCACACCTCAAGCATTTCAGTCGAAAGCCCTAAGTGTTGTATCTGAAATGACTGTAGATATCTCTTTCTCTCTCTAGTCTCTGAAAAAGGTGGGCCAGGACTCTACAGTGCTGCTGATCTGTATAACGGTGTTCCTCTCCTACCTCCCTGAAGCTGGCCAGTACTCCAGCTTTTTCCTGTACCTCCGACAGGTAAGTCCAATTGTTGCCTTGCTCATCGACCCAGGCTGCTCATAACAACATACAGTTAATGTAATCTATAGTTAGAGTAAAGTGACAAGTAACATCGCAGTAATAATCATTAAGGAACAAGTATCACGTTTCACAATTAAGTGTTTAGTAGAAGAATTAACGAGAACTGTTACAAAGCCCCGGATCATTTTATATCTAGTTAATGTTTTAGCATGTTTTATATAGTGATGCGCAAGTGCAATGCAACACTTGATCTAATCAAACAAGATTGCAGAAAATGTGAATAAAAATACAGATGAAAGAATAAATCATAAATAAATATTGAATCTGTAATGTGACATACACTAAAAATGAAACCATTGAAAATTTATCTAGTGTGATCTCCCTGGGCATTAACAGAATCTTGGCAGCGTTGACATACAGTATAAACCTGATCAGCCCACTTGTACTGTGTAACTGCAGCCAGCTGGCTAAGGTTAAGCAGTGGTCATTAGCCTCTGTAATGACCCCATGTCTTCCAGGACATGGCCTGTCTCTCACAGAGCTCAAAGAACTGGCAGAGCTAGTTGCCCAGTTACCCTGGACTAGCCTGTTGATTGTTAAAGCAGAACATCTCCTTCCATGGCCAACATCTGTCACAGACAGACTGCCAGTCAGTCATGCTGATAGCAGCCATGAGATCTTCATTACTCAGACAGTTGTATCTTTTGCTGTTTTGTGGCATTAATTAATATTGTCATTTTGGCAATAAGTAATGGATGGCTGTTGATACAGATGCATAGTGAGTAACGTAAATGAGCAAACGCATTTTACAATTTTAACTCAAATTAAACGACAAACTCTGTGAACCTAGAAGTTTTTGTATAATTACATGACATGAGCCCAGGACTTTTTAGGAAAAGGGCATCTCAAGCAACTTCACTATGTTCTCACAATTTCAAATGTATATAACCTTTTGTGTGCATAGAGAGCTATTGATATAAAAATTAAACTGTTGTTTTCCTTAAATTTAAGTATGCATACCTAAGTTATTTTTTCAGTGATTTTTATTTCTTGTTATTGTCTTGTTTCAGATGATGGGATTTTCACCAGAAAGTGTTGCTGCATTTATAGCTGTGCTGGGATTACTCTCTATTATTGCACAAGTTAGTATTCTGTTGTTCATTGTTTTCATAACAATACTAGACTTTTAAAAAGCTTAACATTTTGAGTCTATGTACAGTTATAGGAGGCCAGGGTAAAGTGGCTTTAATTCACATATTTCTTCACATTTGTTGAAATTGCTGACCATCAGCTGGTGTATTTTAAATCCATGTGGTTTTATTTTTTTATTGTGTCTTTGCCACTTTAAGATCTATGTGAATTTGACGCGCATAACTAGCTAACTTAGTACAAATAATTGGTATCAAAGGTAAATGGGGTCTGTTTCCAGTCTTGTGGCTGGTTACATTATGTGTGATTACAGTTCAGTTTTAATTGAAGTCTAAGAAACAGAAAACGTGGTTTTGCAAAATACTGCATGTCAATTCAAAAATACACATATATGAAAAACACCTAAAAATAGTTTCAGAATGGAGGATGGCAATATCCATACATACAGATTTGCAATTTAACTTGACACAGAATAATCCCAGAATGCAGCTGTAGACTATAAACCAACTTTGGACTTTTAAACAACTTTAAAACTCATTTTTAGGGGAAAGTCTCAGAATCAAGTAGAATCTTAAAGATTGAGTAGAAGCATTTCAGATACAAGTGAGTATTTTGCGTGAAGTATGTTGGACATCAAAATCATTTGAGTCTGACATTTCAACAGCTTCCTGGTGAGGATAAGTGCTGTTGAGATTGGGGGTTTGTATGAGGAGCAGGGGTGGATGCAATAAGAAGTTCCCTTTAATGAAATCATGGCTTCAGTTTAGCATTCCTCACAGAGCAGTAGTACTGAAACACAGGTGAAACATGAGGTTTCCTCTGCAAACATGTGGCTCAATAAGGTAAAAAAGTATTGATTTCTTGCCTCTCTATCTTCACAGACTGTAGTCTTGAGTTTACTGATGCGGTCCATCGGGAACAAAAACACTATTTTACTTGGCCTGGGCTTCCAGATTCTGCAACTTGCTTGGTACAGCTTTGGATCAGAACCCTGGTATGTGCCTTGTATTCTGTAGGAGTAGAAAACCTAGGAGCTTTTCCTAACAGACACTGTAGGTCACAGATCATCAAGTATAATTTGTGAACCTTTAATATCAGTCCTATTCTGAGTTATTTAAAATTAGTAAGCAGGTACTGTCACTATTAAACCAAACATTTAATCTTATAAACCTGAAATACAGTCGCTGTTTTATGCATATTTCTAGTTTGATACTAGTTTTCCTTCTTGGTTTCTCCTCAGGATGATGTGGGCTGCTGGTGCAGTTGCAGCTATGTCCAGTATTACCTTCCCAGCAGTCAGTGCTCTTGTGTCCAGGACAGCTGAAGCAGACCAGCAAGGTACCCAGGGCAAGAAAAAAGTCGCTTTGTACAGAAACTCAGCTGTTGGTTTCTGTCATCCATCTGAAAATGAAAGCGCTATGTATTTCTTGTACTTGTAATCTTGCAACTTTTCTGTTACGCCACAAAGCTGTGTCGTGAAGTCAGACAGATCTATTCTTTCACCCATTTGGTTTGACAGTTCTGTTTGAAAAGCTCATAAATATCCAATGCTCCATCCACTAAGAGAGAGCTCAGTAGTCTTAAGTGTAATGGCTAGATTAGAGGGCATCCAGTGTGGTTCTTGATTGTCAAAAGATTGGCCTGTGAAACTAATTAAATTAGTTTAAGCTAGTAATTAGTTAAGTACAGTAACTAGGAGTTTTAGGGATCTAAAACCCAGAAATCTTTTTGGCCTTGAGAGCTGGAGCAGAAGATCTTGTCTTGATCATTGCACTAGCTAATCTAATGTTTGTGCTGTGCTTGTGCGTTCTTAGCTCTCCCTACTCATTAGAACTGGCGAGACAGTGAAGAGAAGCACAACATGTTTGCAGTCAGTCAGTGAGGTTAGGTGCAGTTTTAGTCATGTTCCATGTCTTCTCCTGTGCTAAATGCCAGCATTGGGGGTTAAGTCTTTTTAAAATAAACTAAAATGTACTCTACATGTTTGTCCTGTACGTATCTTCATGTGATCCTGCTAGATTTCTGCTTACCTAAGTCTTCTTGTGAATGGTGTGTGGAAGGCTGACGGTCTCGTTCTCTTATAGGTGTGGTTCAGGGGATGATCACTGGGATTCGAGGGCTGTGTAATGGCCTGGGACCGGCGCTGTACGGGTTCATTTTCTACATATTCCATGTGGAGCTTAATGAACTCCCAGTGAGTAACAGTGGCCTGGGAGCTGAGTCTGAATCATCACATCACTCTCAACACAATCATCAGGTAACGTACAGTGTCCAGCTTCATGGAATTGTCATTGAAACTCATCATCTTTAGGTTTGGGTGTCAGTCTCTCAGAATTATGCTCTGGAATGTGAAATGTAGTCAAAATGGTATGAGATGGTGAAACAAATATGAAACCAGACAGGTAGGATTTTGATGTTCAGTTTCTATGTAACCATAGAACTTGTCTCTATCTTATAAAAGGGAATATCATTCTTCGCAGGACATGTTACCTGTCATGCCAGTATCCCAGAGGAGTCTTTCATGACTTGCAGTACATTGTAAGAATGGTTAGGTAAACACACTTGGATGCAGATTTTGCTGTTGATCTTCAGATACTTTGTGTATGGGTACAGGTCACACTCTCATGGTCCCCCTCTGCAGTCTTACCTAAACTGTGGTCAAGTGAGTAGCTGCGTTGGTATGTGTTAGCTGCAAGGAGACATGTATTGGTTAATCCCAGCCTGAAAAATAGGGGTAAATCCAACGTTTCAGCTGCTGAGACGTCTTCAGGGGATATTTAATTTCACATAGCACATTGAATGTCTCAAGATTAAGATATATAATACCCCTAAAAATCCTGGGTTTGGCGGGCTTCATTCTGCACTTTTTAATTACCGTCCCTTTGTGATTTATTTCTGTCCACGCAGAGTTCAATAATCCCTGGTCCTCCGTTCCTGTTTGGGGCATGTGCTGTGCTGCTCGCCCTGCTGGTGGCGCTGTTCATCCCTGAGCACACTAACATGGCCCCACGGAGCAGCACCTGGAAGAAGCATCTGTCAGCCCACAGCCACCCCCACAGCCCCCAGGCACCTGGGGAGGCCAAGGAGCCACTCTTACAAGACAGCAACGTATGACCGCTGTTGCTTCTCAGGCGGTTTCTAGATACATCATTTGGCCATTTTTTATGTATTTATGGAGATGCCAGGTAATGGAAATTCAACACGAGTGTTAAGAGTACCATTTTGTAATATATTTAAAAATTGTCCAAAGGCACTATTGCAATAGCTCTATTTATTGAATTCAATATAGTTAGAGAGGATTTTTTATACATTTTTGTCATAAATTCTACATCGGCAT